CGACTTTTGAGAGCGGTTTGCTTTGGTTAATCATAAAGTACTACGGAGTAAAGCAGCACAGATTACTTACCATTGTTATCAAGGAAATAAGAAGTAAAAACATCATAGAAACGTAAAAGACGTCCAGGCCGAATTCTTCAGTAAACATTATTTTGTATGTCAGAAATATAACGCAGTTTCTATTTATTTGTTTCAGATCGCATAGAGATCGTTTTTGTTGTTGCAGGTATAAGTTTTGCACACACAATCAAGCGTCGCAATTGCATGATGGAAAATTTAGTCTTTCACATGTAAAACTAAATTAACAAGCATCGCAATTGCATGATGGGAAATTTTAGTCTTTCACATGTAAAACTAAATTAACAAGCATCGCAATTGCATGATGGGAAAATTTAGTCTTTCACATATAAAACTAAATTAAATAATAGGATATATTTTTTACATTAAAATATAGGGATAATTAAACTATGAAATCATTTCGCCAATAAATTTATAAACATCACAGTTAAGTACAAAATATTAGCTTATGATATACTTAAGTGTATATTACTGAAACTGATTTTCTAATATTCTTTATTATCTTACTAGGGACAGGCCCTAACAGAGCACGCCAACTCAAAGGAATTTTCGCATATATACTAAAAACAACTTTAATTTCTGCTTTATATGTAAATTGTAAGGTAAATGTTGTTTCTTTGTAAGGATGATTTAATTTCTACACTGTACCAATGCGGATAAAGATTGTATTACAAAACAATGTACTGCTATCCAGCAATAATTCTAGAAAAGCATGTTTTTCAAATTTAGTTTGCACATATAATGCTTTAAATTGTGCATTATGCAAAATTAATTACTGTTTTCATAAGAAAAATTAATAGAATTCTTTCCTCATTAAAATGGTGTCTTGCGTAAATTTATATCATACCTTGTTAGGGTAGTTAGCAGTATCAATGATTATATTAAGGACTGTCTCTTCTGTGTGTCATCGTTGCTGCAGTTGGGAACGAGATTAACTTGTACACGGTTAAGAAGTTTCTGTTATTAGATTTCTTATACTGTTGAAGGTCGTTGTGTTGAGAATTCAGCACTTTGCTGCTGGTTGCAAATTCTATTTAAGTTGCAATACTCTAGCCATAGTTACAGCCCTTTATATAACTGTTTATAGCTAATTGGTAAATATTAGGCATATTTGGTTCATATCATGAACCATCTGGTTTCATCGTTTGGCAGGCAGAGATAAAAGTGTCTAATGAAACAAAGGTTAACGCTGATAATTTCCATTTTCTCCGAACCAGCTGGCATTTCGAACTATAACTTGAATTTGGTAACGAGTACCCGATTCTTTCCTATTGTGTCTGGCATTTTATTTTCAGCTTTCAATATATGATTTGGTTTCAACGCTTTCTGTCATGTTTGCTGTAACTTTACACACCAGTTTTATATGAGAAATAATCGTCAAAGATAATGTTCCAGAATTATTTGTCATCCTCATCAATTCTAGGCGGCATGTACTGTTGAATGCTCATAAACATCATGTCGCTACCAATGGTGCACCCATTCTGCCCTAGCGGCTAATTCGGCCAGTTTTACCAGATAAATTTTATAACGTCCCCAATCCCACTCCAAATTTGATTAAATTTGTAAATTGTTTAAAATATTAAAAAGAAACTGTGTATACGTTTTCGAAGTTACACGCAATAGTTTCAGATTGATTGCAATACATAATTTCTGATATTTTAGAAGCAGCCTAATACTAAATATTTCGTGTTGTAAAAGATATCCCAGGCTGGGTGTAGGATATGGAAAAAATATTAAATAGCTGTATCGAATGCAAGATCAGCCATGTAAGAATAAATTTTAAGTAATCATTTTGATCATCTCATTAATAAATGCATAATAATGCACCAGAATAAATAGGCTAATAAATAGAGGATCGCTAAATTGGTAATGATTTAATAATAAATTTATGAAACGAGTTGAATAATTTCCAGCTTTTGCGAGCATTTGAGAGAAAAAGCACATTGTACAACGAGATTCTGTTTGGTGCAGTTTTTCATTTAATGGAAATAGTTTAGAAAGAAAGAATGCATAATTTAGTTTTTTCTAACTTTATATTTATTGCCAGTAAAACATAGCATATGTTACACAGTTATAAATCCATTAACATTCAAAAGTAGATATTTTACAAATTGTAAATCAAAGAGCAACTGTCTTTCCTAATGTAAAGAACACCTGATACAGATATTATTTTCCAACACTATGAAAATTTTGTATGATGTCACATAGTTTTACACGGGCTAGAGTAGACGATCAATGTTCACACCAAAAGTGTGTCAGCTTCAATACCAAGCATTCTAATTGCTGGATATTCATGTAATTGGATGATACTTGAATATAGAAAGTCCAAATTTACTATAATGTATTTTATGACCTGATAGTTGCTTTATTCGATAAGGAACAGCAGACTTCTGTAGACAGATCAGTTTTATTTAAACAAGAGATTGCATTACATAATACAAAACATAAGCTCATTTAACCTTTTTTACAGTGTATAAAATGATGTTGGATAAATTTCTGTCATTTGGGACACCGGTTTATGTCCACATCCATCTATGAACAGAGGTTAGTTTATTTATTAATGTGAGTTAATATTCAAACAACGCTTGTATATAGGGCGGATTCCATGTTACATATATAACTTCCACCCGTGCCGACCACTACCTCCATAAATTGACCAATACCCTAAGTTCTTTCTGTTCTTGTTCTTGTTTTGGGGTGAGGTGGATCACGCTATCTATAAAAGCATGATATGCATGACGTAAAGAGCCCCTGTAGTGTAAATTGGCCATAGGCAGACAAACGTGGCCATTTTTTTCAGAGTTCCCTTGATTCAACCGATTCGAAAATGGACGCCAAAATGTTGATAATAGTAGTAGTAAAAACAAAATGTTCTAGAAGGCTGGATTATGAAAATTCCAATAGCATACTGGACGCGAATATCACAGACTGATTTGGACAATGTCAGTCTCACACAAATTATGTTAACATCTTACACCAAACTATTTAACTGAATACAATATATGTAAATTTCACTATGAGTTTAGCTAGTATATTTTTTTGCTCTGTATAACACAAGCTGTAAAAACGTTTTATGACGCCACACACTACGTCAGGAGGTCATTACAGACGTACTGTCCAAAACATTCAGAGTTCTTTAAAGCCATCTCATCGGATTATTTCGCAATTGTTTTTAATCTTACATTTTACTCAATTAAATACAATTTATGAAATTCGTCCATTAGTTTCATATATTTAATTTCATGTGCGCTCATATAATATTCTCGAGATTAAAAAATGCAGACACTGTGAGGAAGCTTAATGCCCTTGGACACTTGCGTCCGCTAGAAATGTTAAACTGTTCCAAGAATTACGTTTGGATTGATTCGGTAATGTTTACATATTATACTGTCTTTAAAGAACTTTTAGTCTTCAAGACGGCTAATTATCAGGTTAGAAAATTATAGCTAAAAATATAAATCCCATTGACATCAGAAACAGTCACATTTACCATCCTAAAGGTACCAAAATACTTTCCATCCAATAGGCAAAATAATCATGTTACACTCCAAAGGTGAGAATTCCCATAGCCATCTATAAGATCCAAGTCTATTTTCTCATCCCAAAAGTATAATAAAGTTTGAAATTTCAGCTGCTTTTTTTTTAAAAAAGTATGCTTTCGTGACAAAACTCGAGAAAAAGCAAGATTTTATTTTCTGAAAAGTAAATGACTGCATATATTTTGCGCGTGTTTGTTTTTCTCAGAATATTTACTTGCAAAAGTTAAAAACTGAAACTGATTAATCCTCAACCGAATAAGTAATACGTTCTATAGAAGTTTTTTTTAGCTTTGATTATTGGAATTTATATATTTTGATATTACTCATTCGTGCCTCGCATTCTTTGTCTTTAATTGCTTTAATTTTATTTTGTTATAAACGTTATCCAAATCGTTTTCAGGTTAAACTGTACATAGATCATTCTTGGTTTGTGAAGTTACTATTATTGTTGTTTATATTTTTGTTTGGGGGTTTTCTTGCTGTGGTTTTTCAATTTTTATTGGGTATCTATTTTGAAATAAACATTGAAGTTAACATAAACATGTGAGTTAATTTTAGAAAGGTAGAACCGTGTTGTCTAAGGTTGAGCGGAAAGCTTATTCTGAGGAGGGAATTCTCGCTATAAGCCACTCCGAGACTGATGGAAGCACCCAGGGCCCTCGTGAGAGTCGGCACTAGGAGATTCTCTGGTTGTACGTAGTGACGACACCGAAGGGAGAAGTACCGAGGTGGACATATAGGAAGAAAGCAAAGGAAGCCGAGTAAACTCCAGGGTTGCATACTTGAGAAGTACAGAAGGAGGAAGATAAATAAAGGAGGAAAAAGGAGAAATCAGTAGCAGATGTGTACCATGTCCAAGTAGTGGGCAAATACTTTCTCACAATAGGACATTAACTTTTTGACAAATTAAAGTGTAAAGTAGCATTTAATTAACAATGCCAGTTATTGTGGCAAGATAGTTTTGAACAAAGCTCTACTACTGCAATTTGAAATTGAAGATTTATGTTCAAGAAATTTTTGAATTGATTTTTATAGTTAAAATTGTTATCTATTCGACCTTGAGTTGTCTAATATATCTACAATGTTGATGTTAGTGACACAGGGCTTGGGACGTTAAATTTTTATGTACACCTTTTGCTAGTGTGATTTACGTGTGATTTAGATTTTTAACGTAGCTTTAACAATTTTTCAGTCATATCGCTACGATGTCTGCAGTGTGATTGTTTATAGTGATGTCTGGACTGGGGCATCATGCCGCAGACATGTGACATGATGTCCCACCAAGTTACATTATCCTGCTTCCAGGCCAACTAGTCCTAACGCTAACCTCTTTAATATTTCGCACCAAGCTTGGCAGCTGTTAGTACCATTGTTTAAAGTCTTTGGTGTAACTCGAGCAGGGTTCGAACCCACGACTTCCCACATCCGAGGCGGATGCTCTAACCACTAGGCTAATGGAGCGGTTACACCTTTTGCAGTATTATTTATAATATCTTATCGGATCAGCAGTGTTATTTATAATACTGTAGCGGGGTTGTGACAGTATATGTCATGAGCAATATTTATTTTCAGCGCGTTTTTATACTATTTTACTTCATTGCTTGAATTATTAATAATTTTTATCTTTTAGAAACAATTATATTTATTAATTGTTCATTCATTTAAATAGTGTGAAAATGGACAAAGATGAAAGAGACACTAACATGTATGCTTGATCTGACAAATAACAAACGACGCATGCAAATGTATAATACACTTAGATAGCAACATGTCTAACAATGGCTTTCAACCCTATGAACAATAAATAGTTCAAAGAAGATACAGTTATAATGTTAGCGATACATGCTTTTACTGCGTACGGAGATGAAAATGGTGAAAGTATGTTTTATCCAAATGAAGAAGTGGACCAACAAATAATATTCGTAATAAAATAAGACGTGGAAAGAAGTTAATAATTCACATATGGTTACCACGAACAAAGTTAAAGTGGAGAACTCTAACGGCAGAGCATAATTCTTCAACATTGCAAGAACAAAGATGACAGATTGCGAAAATGTTATAGAAGTAGTCCATTCAAATCAAATCAATATGAAATCGAGCGTAGAAATGCATGGCAAATAGAGAAGACAAAGAAAGGTGTCAGAAAAGAAACCTATGAAAATAATGACAGCTCAACAGTAATAACTATTATAAAAATGCCAAACAGGACAAATCGCTGGACATTCAACATATTTAGATAAAACATTTGAAAAAATATTGCAAAAGTAAAATAAAAAAGTAGAGAAAAGTTACAACTGAGCCAATTGTTTGAAGAAAATATGCTACTATTGCTACGGTGAAGTCTGTTAACGATATAACAGCAGCCAATCTTGGTTTAACAATAATAAACTAGCATTAGACTCAGGGACATATCCATTATGGCATATTGATTGAGGAGAAAGTTAAGGTTGCAGGGTCATTCACTGCAAAATTTAAACAAGGATTAAATTTGTCTGAGCTACTTGTTCAAAAACTATATTAATAACGTTACTAGGAATCATAACAAGTATTGTTTCTTGTTCACTTATGATAGTATATAAGGTAATCTCTTTCTTTATCTGAATTAGTTATGTTGCTTTTATATTTTGATACAATTTTTAAAACTGAAAAATGTTCCTGAAATCTGATTGTAACGATTTCATATATTATCCAGGCTTTAATTAATTTTCCACACTGTTTTTTAAGTTGGTCTAAAAATTTGAAACTGATTAACTCATGTTATATTTTGCAGTTACAGTGTATATCACATAGGATCTAATACTTCGAGTAAGACAATATATTCATCTGTTAATTCTGTGGCAAACTGGTAGAAAACATTAAATCTTACCTTTTTATTTCCGCACTGGTCAGTTTAATCCTAATTCCATCAGCTGATATTTTCTCCAGTATTCAACTGTTGCAGTATTGTTTGCAACCACATTTGTTTTTGAAGGTTTTCCAAAGCTGTGATCTACAATTTTATGTACGCCAGTCTCAGTGCCAATCCAGGAATACTTTGTTCCCGTTAAATATCTCACGCTGACTTTACTACATGACAAATATTGTTTTCTGTATGTATGTATGTATGTATGTATGTATGTATGTATGTATGTATGTATGTATGTATGTATGTATGTATGTATGTATGTATGTATGTATGTATGTATGTATGTATGTATGTATGTATGTATGTATATTTATACACATACATACATATATATATATGTATATATATATATGTATATATGTATGTGTATATATATATATGTATGTGTATAAATATATATATGTATATGTATATGTATATGTATATGTATATGTATATGTATATGTATATGTATATGTATATATATTTATACACACATATATATATATATATATATATATATATATATATATATATATATATATATATATATATATATATATATATACATATATATATACATATATATATATATACATATATATATATATATATATATATATATATATATATATATATATATATATATATATATATATATATATATATATATATATATATATATATATATATATATATATATAAGGAATGGAGTATTCATGAGCACATTGACGGCTTGTTAAAGTTTCCAGTTTAATTCTCTGATACCTCGGTTTTTGTAACTTTATTATATTTAAATTTAAGTGGTCACAACTCTAATTTTTTGCCATCATTACCTATGATATTTTCAGATTAGAGTTTAAGTTTGCTTTATTAGTATACTGGTAGTCGTCAAAGTAACGAATTGGGAGGACCTGCATATCAGGACTAAAATTAAAGCACTACTCTAAAGTATGTCACATTGACCACAATGTCAAAAGGTCGCTCATGTGTGTGTGTGTTTGTGTGTGTGTTGAAGAATAAATTTGCTTTGTGATAATCTCAGGCATTAAGTGAATATAAAAACATGTTTTGTAAGCATTAAGCCAATGACGAACGTAACCAAAACCTTTATATATTTTCTTTAATGAGTCTTTGACACCAAGCTCAAAATAGTAAACGAGCAGTCAACAAAATTAATTTTCTTAGTTTTATCATATCAGTTATGACAAGAATACCTCAAAGGGTTTGAGAAATATTTGTATGTATGTATGTATGTGTGTGTGTGTGTTCTTACTAGAGATGTTTGACGAGAATACAATTCCATTAAGTCTAATTGAAAAGTGTAAATATTTTCATTCACACCCAGAACGATGGAATACGACATTTGCTAGCATACACTTTAAACTTTTGATCGCATCTACTGTTACGTATCGGCTCGTGCAAAGTAACACAAAGAAAGAATGAAGACAACAAGCTTTGTAAATCTTAGCAAAATTAATTTATTTCCCTAGGAAACATGGAGTAAAAGTTAATATATGAAACAAAACGAACGATTTACGAAGGAGATCCAAATATTTGTTCTGAAGTTAAGAAAACACAAGTCCTGGGAACAAACAGTTCTAAATTGATAGTCTGAAATTCAGTTCCCGTCCAAGATGGCGGTTGACGACGTCAGACGAAGGCTATCACAAAATGGTCCAGAATTTTCAATTTGTATTCTTCCATTCCAAATTAGAAGAAATTTCAGAAAAGGTCCTTCTCCAAACATGTAGTATTGTTCTCCAGAGAAAATAATTATTTATATAGTAGACTACCTACCATTATCTCTAGCAACAAAACATATGTCGTTCTACGTAGACATACAAACAGACCATACGAACAGACAACTTCTTCCAGCACAAAATACCCTTTTAACGGCAATAGAAGCTAAGCGACTCTCTAAGCTGTTAAAAACTGTGACTGAACAGCACTTACGGCAACGACTGAACTTTCTTACAGATAATTAAGCATATAAAAAACACTAATAAGTCGTTTCATGTACACATGCAAGATGAACACGTGTAATTTCACAATCCATCTGGTCATTATGAAAGTCTGAACATTTATCGGTCAATCATTTACATAGCTTCTTCTGAATATTTACTTGTGACGAATTTACTATCACACAAAGCGCATGCTTACACGAGTTACATTTACGATTTGAGTAAACACGATGTTTCTAACAAAACATTAGACCCATGCTAACAACAACAACAACAGCAACAGCAACAATAACAACAATAGCAATAGCAATAACAATAACAATAATAATAACAAAAGCAATGATATAAAAATAAATAAAAATGAAATTAAATGATTTATACAGAATTCATTCCTTAACAAACATAATTTTACTACAGGGTCGTAACACTACATTAGACGCCTTTGCACTTTTGAAAACCAATTGAGGTAATTATATCATCAACAACAAAAACATACAATGAGTTCCAATTAGGATAATGTATTGGAATTGATTGTTCGCCGAGTTCTTTTAGCTTTTAGTTATTGGGGTATAATCACATAGTTGACATAGGACAACATGTTTGCTCGCTGCGATAATTAAAAATGAAGTCACCTTTCAAAAGTATGGAATATTGTAGTACATTGAGATAGAATAATATTATATTTAAAAACACTTATCAAAATAATTTACATTAGTGAAGCACTGTATTCCTCTTCTCTGATTGCCAGATCGTAGCCATTACTAATATGTTGTGACATCTTAAATAGGACCAACAAAATGTAATTTAGCAATAACATTTTATGTTTTAGCGTTTCTGGTAAATTCTGGACAAATAAAAAAATGCGCTGTATTTCAAACTTTGACCCGTTTAATAAATTTTGAGCCTTATTCTATAATGTGTGTAACGACAGCTCTGTATGAAACTATGTATGCTTTGTAACATTAACAATCCGAAACTCCCCGCTATGCTGCTGAAGCTTACGAGAAGAAAACAAAGTATATTTTAGATAAATTGAAAGGGTGTTATTATTGCTTTTTCTACTCTACTAACAATCTCGAAGAAACTAAAACAAAACTTTGTTATTTTCATTATTTGTAATTTGAATTTAAAACTCATATCAACATTTCATTGCTACAGATACGTTTTGAAATTTCTTTTTTTTTTAGTTTCTCGATTTTCTTTATATAAATCTGATTTTAAGACATTATACTAAGAAAAAAGAAATAAAACTATGATCGGTGGTTAGTATTTATTTCAGGTTGTAACAAGATAACTGATTTTGGGATTTCTGGATTAACAACAAAACACCATTGATGGTAATGCAATACGATATTTAATGTTTTATAAAAATAAGAAATGAAGTATGATAGATGCGTGCGAGTATGGGTCCAAATATTGGATGAATTAACATAATTAGCACGATCTTTTATCATGCAACAAATACAAATGCAAACACATTAACATATACGGTACCAGGGCAAATAAAAAAAATCGATTCATGGTATATCACAAAATGAAAATATGATCTTCACAATAGCGAAACAAATGTTTCGTTCAAAATAACGAATTGATAGTTACTCACAACAACGAAACAATTGATG